CTTGACACGGAAGGGCTGCGAACCAAAATCTGCCACAGCGTTCAACGTTGAAACAAGTTGGAAACAACATCGGAGCACGAGATAAGAAGAAAAGATGTCAAGTACACATAGCGGTCTTAGTTACAAGTAGCGGCCTAAGTACGTGTATCGGTCTATGTACACGAAGCTTTCTTAATAACTCGTAGCGGACTTGGACCACGTTGCGGCCCAATTAAGTACAGGTAGCATTAAGGTACAAGTGACAGCATATGTACACGTGGCGACATTACGTAGTACGCGTGACGGCCTAATTACACGTAGCGGATTTAGTTACACGTAGCGACATACGAACACCTAGCGTCTTAACTTCTCAAAGCCTTAATCATGATCCGCGCGAAATTCTTATAGCAATCCATTTTTCCATGACATATGGAATCCGGTAGAGACCGCCTAGCTGTAACAGCCCCTGCCACCTTCTAGCTTTGAGACGTATTCTCAGAAGCGCCTAAGACATCGTAATTATTATACTACCAGGATCAAAACATTACCTGCCTAAATAATTAACTTGCGGTAACGTTTATCCCGAACTTACGATCATTCGTTAATTCGTATACTCAGAGCAGAGGCCAAGGACAACGGTCCAGGAGCTGTCAGCCGAGGTCACGTACAGCTACGTTCCCACGCTGGTCAGACGTAACTCTGCGGCCGTCGTAACTCTGCGGTCGTCGTAACTCTGCGGTAGTCGTAACTCTGCGGTGGTCGTAACTCTGCGGTGGTCGTAACTCTGCGGCCGTCGTAACTCTGCGGCCGTCGTAACTCTGCGGTTGTCGTAACTCTACGGTCGTCGTAACTCTGCGGTCGTCGTAACTCTGCGGTCGTCGTAACTCTGCGGTCGTCGTAACTCTGCGGTCGTCGTAACTCTGCGGTCGTCGTAACTTAGCGGCGATTGTGATTGCAGTGCATAGTTTCGCACAGCAACACGCACAGCAGCATGCACAGCAACACGCACAGCAATACGCACAGCAGCACGCACAGCAACACGCACAGCAACACGCACAGTATCTTCCCTCAGCACGCGGCCTTCAGCGCGGGCGTATACAGTGAGCGTCGGCAGAACATCTCCTTACTTTTTGCTGCGCGAGAAGGCCAAGTGGCGGCAAGGAAGAAGAGGCGTTGCGGTGAACCCTAGTGACCGACTAGTGGGCGTAAGATGGCCCTGCTGCATGCTCCTAGTGACCGACTAGTGGGCGTAAGATGGCCCTGCTGCATGCTCCTAGTGACCGACTAGTGGGCGTGCAGAGAAGCATGGACTCGATGTTAGAAGACGCGTCTGGCTTTGACTTAGGCGTGGAGTTCTACTGAGTTTATGACGAGTTTGACTGAATCTGCGACTGTGACCATGCAGAGACTGACTGAGACTATGACTAAGACTCAGACTTAGAGTGAGACTCAGACTTACACTTAGACATGGGACCAAGACTAAGACTTAGACTGAGACTCAAAAACTAAAACTTAGGCTGAGACTAAGACTAAAACTTAGACTGAGACTCAGACTAAAACTTAGACTGCGACTCGAAAACTAAAACTTAGACTGAGACTCAGACTAATACTTAGACTCAGACTGAGACTCAGACTTAAATTAACAGCTCGCCCACGTGCTGGCAGTGCGTCAATAAAAGACCAGTTACGCATCGCGATGCTGCTTGTTTCTATGAAGTAAAAGCTACATCGAGGAATGCACGCTGCCCCAGCGTCTACGATGGTGGATGTCAATATAGAGCAAAACTCTACCCATGCCCTGCCATGGCAGAGCACTGCCACTTGCACTGTCGGCGCACTGTCACGGCAGAGCACTGCCACGGCGGAAATTAAATATGGAAATTAAATTCTTGAGAATTACAGTTACTGACTTTATAGTGACACTAAGAAGATATAACATAAGAGAGCCAGTCAACTCAAACTTAAACATGCAGAACTCAATCTTTGTTAGTCAAGCGTAAAATTCTGAGTCTTCGTTTGTGTCTTGTCCAATACCATGATAATCGCCGGTCCGTACGACCGTACCAAGCAAAATTAAAATATTTTTTAAACGATTTTCACAAATTTCTATTCTATTTATATTGTATAATTTTCCTAAAGATTTAACATAAAAATTAACTGTCCGCACACAACTGCCACCATTCCAAATACATTACATGCTACATGACAAATGCTAGTATTTGTATTGTATTTTTTTGCATTTGAATTTTTTTATTGTAATTTTAATATATTTTTCTTAACTACTGGAAAAGGCATAACGTTTACAAAAGTACACCAATATTAATATGAATATTCTATATATGCAAATTACCATTTGAATAATAATTCAAATGGTAATTTGTATGTGAGAAAAATCCACTGATAACATTTTTCTCTTTGAATAATTTTAATTGTTACCGAGACGCACAGTTGAGAAAAATTGATGGATCATATGGTCCGAATAGTGACACACTTCCTGCGCATAGCACTTATACCCCATTTCCCAGGGCCAAACTGGGTCAAGATGACCCATATAAGAGCAGAAAGTACGTCATAATTCGGACAGTCACACTCATTTTTCTGAATGTAAAGCTTCTTGCTAAACCTCCCGCGGTGGCGTCGTCGTGGGAAAACAGGCAGTCAGCGCACTAGAGCAGCGTGCACGGCAGGCAGTCAGCGCACTAGAGCAGCGTGCACGGCAGTCAGTCAGTGCACTAGAGCAGCGTGCACGGCAGTCAGCGCACTAGAGCAGCGTGCACGGCAGGCAGTCAGCGCACTAGAGCAGCGTGCAGGCATTCTGCACGCTATAGAACAGCCTCCCCTAGAACAGCCTCCTCTAGAGCCCTCCCCTAGCAAGAGCCGCTAATATAATTGTACTAATTTCTGGAAAATCGTTCAAGTCCCACAGGAAAGCCACTGCCGTTACGAGGTGAAAGTCTAACAGCAGAATGGCGGAGCGCGTCTCGTGATGCTGCCGGCAAACTGTCTGTCTGTTGTGATTGACGCAATCGTCTTGGCAAGTCCAACACGTGATAACGGCCGCAGGTTATCTTGCCAGTTATAGGTACGGTAACGTGGTGGTGGCACGCGTTCAAGTCAATGTAGAGAAGATTCTTAACATCACGTTTGCCACTTAGATACGGTAACGTGGTATATGCACGCGTTCAAGTCATCTACGATGTGGAGAAGATTCTTAACATCACGTTTGCCACTTAGATACGGTAACGTGGTATATGCACGCGTTCAAGTCATCTACGATGTGGAGAAGATTCTTAACATCACGTTTGCCACTTAGATACGGTAACGTGGTATATGCACGCGTTCAAGTCATCTTCGATGTAAAGAAGATTCTTAACATCACGTTTGCCTGTTAGGTACGGTAACGTGCTATTTGCACGCGTTCAAGTTAATGCAGAGAAGATTCTTAACAATCACGTAAGTCATATACAGCACTGAGGTGGTAGTAAGTGGTCATGTAGCGTACAGTAGAAGTAGATAGTAGTATGTAGTCACATTGTGTACTTACGACCATATGTAAATGCTAATATACAGAAGTTCTACCCTTCTCATCCCAGTCCCGGATACTACCGTAACAAACACACCACTTCATCCCACACACAACCGTATTCACGACCGCCGTAACAAGGAATTAAGTCACGCAATTAATTCGCAGCATCGCTTATGGCTGAGGTCATCCCATGCATCTCCGTCAGGCAGACCGCAGGGCTTCCGCCCCCTGGGGGGCGACACGTGTACGTACGTGTGATGTACGTCATGCGTGTACGTCTCATGTTACGTGTGATGTACGTCATACATGTACGTCATATGTTACGTGTGATGTACATCATACGTGTACGTGGCATGTTACGTGTGATGTACATCATACGTGTATGTCGCATGTTACGTGTGATGTACATCATACGTGTACATCACATGTTACGCGTATTACGCATTTGTTAATTGTTTGTTACGCATTTGCAGCAATTTGCTTAGAAGCGAAGTGAATTCAAAATACGGTCAATGGTACAGCGTGTCTAGCCTCTCATTGATAACTAAATATTCCCTTTTAGGTAAATTTAGTGTAAGACCAAATAATGCGTATGTCAAAATTTGTCTTGTTCATTTTTTTAGTGAGTAGAACAAAATTTATTGCTGGCGCTAGGCGACCAAAAAGCGTGTTACCAAATGACATTTTAATAGCGTACGACGTTTCGAATATTCAATATTCATAATCAAGTGATTAAAGGCTTTTACAACACTTGAATTTAAATTTTTGAATTATGTTTAAATTAAAATTTGAATTGGTAATAAACTAATGCTTTTTTTAAATTTAAAATAGATTTGAACAAATTGTCACTAAAATAAATTGTCAATATAATAATATAAATTGCCAATAAAATAAAATAAAATAAAATAAAATTTTCAATAAAATAAAATAAATTGTCAATAAAACAAAAATTGTCAATAAAAAGTATTCTCTGGTCTTCAATCAAAAAAGTTCTCGTAGGCTACATGCTTTGAGCTAGCGGCAAGTTTCTTCTAAACAAATTTACACAGTTCAATGAACGCTCATGGAGGGAATTTTATTTGTTATAATTGCCCTTGGGATGTTACACCTACGAAAAGCCCGGCCTAATGACGGAAGCAGTGATAATTAAAAAAATTAAAGCACCTACCCGAGGGTTCAACTTGGTACATATCCATATCCAAGCCAGCTTAACGACCACACATCCGAGCCATCGTTATGATCAACTGAGAATTCATCTACATGAATATTCCTTCAGCATTATGAATGGTCTTCCTAGGAATTAATACTAAGGAAATTTTGTACATGATATTTGTCCACTAGCGTATATGCCATTTCGAGGCAGGATAATGAAAGACTCAGGGAACTTAGTCTTACTAAGTACATCTTCTGCCAGTCCTACGAATAAAATTATACCACAAAATGTTAAGCACTCAACTGTTGCAACAATAAGTATGAAGTACATTTGTAAACTCACATTCATGCTCCTCTTCGAATTGTATATGCTCTTCCGAAACAGATTCGGACGCGAAACATGCGCGTGTTATGACGAGTAAAGCGGCCAGCCGCCAGAGCCACATCTTGATCACTGGAAACGGACGGACAGCTCGCGCGCATAACCTCACCTCATGGCAGTCGAATCAGCACTGGCACTCCACTGACATTGAACGTTGCACTGGAGTTGACAGAAATGAAACGTGCTTGGTGCATCATTATTATTCATGAATGAATTTATGCCCCTGGCTCTACTATACACGATGATCGTAACCGCATGTTAACGCATGCGCAATGCGGCTTTAGATTTCATAAAAGAATGTGCTCAACTGAATACGCATCTGGGTCTTTTTTTTTCATTATTCTAGAAGATCATTAGAGCTTAATCCTGATTAGCTATTATAATCGAGATAATTTTCAAATTCCAGTTGAGAACAGAGATTTCCGCTGAATCGGTGTCATTTGTGGTTCTCTAAAACGAATTGGGTATCATTAGTAATTGTAATAGCGGTGTCAACGTTTATTAGGCAATGAGGCCTGTCACCTATTCGGAATATCGCAGAATTTGCACAGCTTGCTTCGGGTCTCGAACGCGCAACTCAATGCTGCATGTTTGCTCATATTTTGCTGTGCTTAACCGCCGGGTCACCTCGCCGGTTGTACCATATCTCGTCTCATACATTATCTGAGGACAAACTGAAATGGTTTTTAAGCATTAATGTTCTCAAACTAATGCTAATACTAATACTAACTAACTAATACTACTAATACTGCTACTAACTAATGAATTTACTCGTAAAAGTTTGGTTTTACCTGGCTCAAAAAAATCATAGTTTTAACCCTGTTACACATTGCTATGAAAAACCGAACGTTATTATATATTTAGGGTGGCGTGAGTTGCGAGTTCAAGCCAGCAACAAGCTGTGAATATTTAATAATGATATTATACAAGTTTATGAACTACGGTTATAAACTAAAAAAACTGCGTTGTAAAACATCCATGCGACAACATTTCTTCTCGCTTCGAGTCACCGACATGTGGAACAACCTCCCTGATAGCATCGTTGACGCTCCGAGTATGAACGCCTTCATGAACAGACTAGACGAAGCCATGCAGTCTTAATCAGTCTTAAAAAGTCTAGCAACTTACTGTCCAGAGGCAATAAGTCCAGCAGATATCTCAATCAATCGTCAGTCATGGAAAGGTCGGGTTCAAAATCCAGGATCCCATGTGGAATCAATTACACGAATCGGCAAGTGCAAAGACAAGACAATAGTGCATTTTTTTCATAATGAGGAAATGCGATAAAAAGTACTTGAATCGGCAATAGGCCATGGACCTATTTCTGCAGTGCCGACACATCTATTCTATTCTATAAAGCGGAGGCTTATTATGAAGAAAGTTTTGTCTTATTTTTACTACACAAATTACAAGCAGAAAATTTCTCATTTGACACCGAAAGTGTGAATAAACGAGACTGTGAAACTATAAAGAACTTTCGCTGACAAGCGAGTGCTCAATGTTATTCAAAATTACCATGATTAAAGCAAGCTGGAGCGACTAGGCACGTAGCCCTATCATCGTGAGCGTTATAATATAATAATGGCAGTTTCAGCGTTTATTAGGCCGTAGGCCTGTCGCCGATCCTTAACATCGCAGAACATTCACAGCATTTTGAGGTCTCGAACTCACAACTCACTGCTACGATTCTGCTTTGCTTAACCTCCCGGCCTCCTTGCCGATTTTGACCAGAAACTGGCGCACAGAGCTGGGATCGAACCCGCGCCTCTCTAGTGCGTCAATCTTGGTACTCTGAACTTTAACCACTGGGCAACTCGATGTAAATGAACCTCAATGGCCCTCAAAGAGTAAATGAACCTCAACAAAAAATTTATAGAGCTTTAAACAAACACCATTTAGTAATGACGTAGTTCTGTTCATCACCTACTAGATTTAGTCTGTGCCGCAAAACTTACAATTTACTATCATACAAACGAACAACTTCTCCGAAAATGTGTATGATATTGGTAATACTTTTCATGATATAATTCTGTATTTCTATAATATCAAACATAAAATATAAAAAAGCATGGTTGAACTATATATATATATTAGTTCAACCATGATAAAAAAGCACCTGGGACTAAGTTTAATTTGCTGAAAATATTGACGTTCATGATTCCGTATTTTATTACGATCAGTGTAACATTCGGCTAGTTCATTAGCCGGACACGGAAGGTGGTAAACAAACCTTGAAGAGTTCTTGGCATCGCTTAGCACTACTCCTGGCAGTCAAGCGACGATCACCTCCATTAGAAAAATTGTGTTATTAATTCAATAAATGTTTCCTCACAAAAAATATTTCAGCAGCGTTCCTTGCCCAGAAAATGAAGATGGTGATTGTGTGAGGCCCTACTGTCACTTTTTTCATCGATTCAAGAGTAAAGCCAAGGAATTCGGTAAGCTAAGTTAACACAATTTCGGCTTTCAGTTTCGGGCATTTCCTTGAAGTTGACAGTTGTAAACTTGTCTATTTGTTTTTAGTTCAAAACTTCTCATTGACATTGCGTCTTAGTAAGGAAATTTAGTCTGATAGACTGATACTGGTCAATACTGAAATTTGTAGTGTTACTAAATTATTGCATCAAACTTTAAGCTGTTTTAGTCTTGGCTTGCCTGCCTTGCCAGAATGTTTTAATGTTGATGCCATGAATTCCCAATTCCCATGATTATTATGTCTCTTAAGTTTCCACATCACTTTGTTAATCTAAACTAGAAAATCAAGCAGAAACCATCCTACAATTGAAGGAGATAAATAGCCCATTATTGTTTATTTTTACCAAAGTAAAAAACTGACCTGAATACAACCATTAATGAGACTGTGAGACATAAAAGTTCTAGATTAGAATTTTCTTAGTTACTACCATCAAACGGGTCAATAAGGAATGGGCATGGTAAATCAGGACAGTCCTCCATCATTTTGTAGAAATGTTGTAGACTTGCAGGCAAGCATTGAAAACATCTGCCTTTAGGGCCGCAACTAGAGGTTTCCTGCCATTTCTGAAACCGCGAGATTTCCGTCAGATGAATTACCTCCTATCCAAATGTTAACAAAAGTGCGATATCAAGCCGCGAGATTCCAAATGTATTGAAAATTCGTCATGTTGAAGCCGCGAGATTTCAGAAACAAATAGAAAAATTCCAATCCTGCTTGCAGGCTTGTAGCTAGTAACTAAATTAATTGGAATATTGGAAAACAAAAAATAGAGGCATATAGTTCATTATTTTTCCTATCTATGCAGCTTTAAGCCCACTGTGCAGAGAGTGGATGAATATTGCAAGATCTTTGGCGATGCTTCAGTAGCCAATTTTCGCCTTCAGAAGATGTTGCCGACACATTTAGATTGAAATTCTTGCATTTAATATATTTCTCAGTCTTCGGCCAACTATTTAGAAAAAAAGTAAGGCTTCAGGTGCGTTGGATGGAATACGATGCAGCGAAGCTTGTCCGGAAATCAGTTGCAATGAGCTCCCGCAAAAAATGTAAACAACGTTTTTTCGATTGCGTAGTTTTGGTCACATTAGAGTGGTCAGACTGCTTTATTACATGTTCAGTTGACACTTGCTGTACAATCAGACTGTTTTTAGGGTAAAATTAGTTATTTGGGGTAACACGTGCATGCAACCTTGTAACTAAGTTTGTGGCTTGTAAATAGTTCGTCATTACTCAGCGTAAATGGCTTTTCATTAAAAATTACCCGGCGACGCATCTTTAAAATGGCCGGCGACGCTTTGGGCTTAAAAATCCATATATTGGTGACGCTGCATCCACCCTCTGCATAGTGGCTTAAAGCAAGTTGAGAAATTTTATATATACTATCTCTAAAAATTCCCTGAAAAAAAGTGTGAAAAGTGAGATTTTAAAAGATTACCTCTGCTAAGGGTATGTAGCTAAAAAAATATTTGTCATATTAAAAAATTTTACTTGCATAAAAGTTGCACACATGTGTTGGCTTAAAAATGTGATTGACTGAATTTGCATAGCTCACTCCAAAGAAATTGTGGCTATTTCCAGTTTCCACAACAGGGCAATAAGGGACACCCTCCCCCTCCCCCCCTGGGGTAATAAGGGTTGAGGGACACTCCAAAAATGCTTTTACAGTTAGAACCTTGGTTAACAAAGGCTCCAGTTAACAAAAAAAATCAATTGACAACAAGGAATTTTAATTATATTTATCTCACTCAGGGAAAAAATTTTACTAAACTAAACTCAGTACCAAATTGTAATAAGAATTTCATGGATAGAATTATGCACCAGGCAACATAGAATGAAAAGTAATTAACCTAAACAATGGTTTATTTCTTCAAAAAATAATGGTTGTTACTAGAATATTCCTTGCAGTTTCAGGTATGTTTTTTGCAATCTTTTTTTTGTTATAGTGAATTCACCTGACCCAATTAAATGGTGTTAAATTACAAACCATCCTCATCCTGTTGTTCCTGTAAGCTTACAGATACAGAAGAAATGCTATATGGCTGCTGATATGAAGCTTGTAGTGGATAAGGTCATTGTCAATGCTCAACGGCATGTCCATAGATACGGTAATATTACATCAATAATATGGTAATGAATGGATATGGTAATATCACATCAATGAAGGAAAAACTAGTGATAATCTCAGAAAATGTAATTTATTATATATCTACTTCAGAGTACTGTTAGTAATGGATGAGTACACTCTGCATGCTTCAAATGTTTTAAAATTAAGTTTTATTTCAAGTGTCCCAGATTACCTTGTTCCCAGGATTAATTTGGGATGCTTTTATTTTACGTCTGGCACCTCATAAATAGCATATGGAATTTTTCAGAGATACCATTTGATAGCCCTTGCAAAGAGCTTTAAAATGAGCCCAAACTTGTTTATGAAATATTTCATGGGAAGAAGTTGTTAACAAAAAACGCTCAAAACCGTCCCTTATTACCCCCTTTGACAGAAATGTCACCTAGATCCATCAACTATGAATAAGTCCATCAATTTTCATTGACATGGATTTTTTCTCTTGCTGTAGTCCCAAGACTGAAGAAAAATTTGATGGGTTATGTAATTTTTAGTTTTTGTTATTAGGTACATTTAATTTATTTTTAAGTTTTATACTGTGAACATTTTATTAAAATTTTCACTTTTTCTTATAGCCTTATTATATGTATAATGTCTTATTTTGCATCACCCCACTGTAGCATAGATTATAGACTTCTACTATAGTGTATACCTATATAAGTACACTGTACTGGCTGCTGATCTACCTTTGATTGTGAATTTAAAACTAGAGCTTTTCTGTGGCCTACTAATAGAACGCAACATTGGTATATATAGGTATATATGTTTTTTTAGTGTATTTGATGGCAGAACTAGCTTGTTTAAACTAGTGTGGTTAACGTAGTGACCCAAGAGGTTATTGAATGATTTGAATTGTCAGGGTCGAGCAATTCTTCAGATGATGTAGGTTGATCAAAATGCAGGTTTTAGGAAGTAATTCTAATTTATGCTCTTCCATGCTCAATATAAATTATTTAGAGGCCATAGGTAGTCATTATCATGTGTTAGCATTTTGCATGCAATGAAAGTCTTTGTGTTTTTGTTTCATTGTGTTAATGTTGTGCATACAACCTAGGTACTCATGAGCACAGATCTTCCTACCAGTCATGGCAGCAAGTGTCTCAAACAAGTCATGTGCAGCAAGTGTCTCAAACAACAAGTCATGTGCAGCATAATAACGAGGAGTACCAGTCCTATGAAGCAACTTCTTGTTCATACTCAACAGCTGCCCATGCTGCTCACATTGGTGAGTATATTAGCACTCATTATCTTATTCAAATGCAATGTAGAATTGGCAGTTTGAATGTTTGCACTTAAAATTCTCCTTCACTTGGGCAGTAAGATGCAGATGAATTTTAACAATGTTAGTTCTTTATTAAGGAAGAAAAAAATCCTTTTGGATCAACAATCTTATTTAAATCAGCTTTAAGATATCAACCGTACTATGCTATCCATGATTGGTCCAGCTGCATTATGTAGATTTTAGTGCAATTCTTATCAATTTGTTACATGAAATGCAGAAGCTTGAGTGAAATTTGTTCAGCATCATTTGTTTTAATAGAATGTGGCAGACTAAAGACCTGGCACTAGCTTAAAATATGAAAACATTGTACAATTTATCAAAATATTTAAAAATGAATTCACCAAAAAGAAAAAGATTAATTATTACTAGGAGCTGTCAACTTTCTTTACCAATTTGCAAATGAATTACAGTATGTCAACTCTTTAAAAACTAAATTGTGTTTTTCTGGTAAATTGCAGTGAAGGATCTAATAATTATATTTTGATGAATGCCACTTTTGCAGCTAACAAAAGCCTGGTCGAAGCATCGACTGCTCCCCAGGATGGTGATGACTCTGAAGATGAACAACTCCAAATTGATGAACAAAGTTCGGCCGAAAATTGCGGTGGCGATGCAAGGTTGGATCCACTGGCCGAAGCTCCGCCTGCCGCAAATGACGCGCCAATACCTACTAACACAGGACAGCCCAGTGCTGTTGACTCCATCATCCAGTCTGATGTGCTGCAGAAATTGGTTATGGAATCGGTTAAAAAGTTTTTATCTGAATCACAATTGCTTGCTAGTATTGAGCCATCAGTTCTGGCGAGTCAGATAGACACTTCAGCTATTGTTAGTTCACTATCTTCTCAACAGAGCGCCAATGCGAGTTCCCAAAATACTGCAAGTAAGGAAAAAAAACGTCGTCTTTATTTAAGACCTCCCGGCATTCCAGACTACAAACCTACTCCCATCAGAGAGCTACAGAAGAGAAAGTCGGTCGAGGGATCCAGTGACAGGTCTCGCGTAAATGTAAGTCAAGCTGACCATGAGAGTGACACCACTGACTTCTCGTCACCTGAGGAAGATGGCCAAGATTTGCCTGCGAATTTAGATTCTGAAGCTGTCACTGCAGAAGGAGCTTCATCTTCTCTGAAGGACGACGAGCCTGGAAAGATAAACGACTTACCGTGTGGTAATGATGCTGAATTGGAGGCTGATCGAATACAGAACGAAGCAGACAAGAAGTCCGAGACCTCAACACGAGTTTCTTCACACGTGTTGGTACCAGTTCAAGTGACACGTAAGACGTGGAAGCCGAGCTCACTGAAAGCTACCAAGCCTAACACAATATCTGGTGTGTTGGAGACCACTAAAACTCTCAACTCTTCAGAAGGCAAACTTCCAACGGTTGATGATTTATCTAAACCACCGGCAGTGGTTCCCCCTACTGCTCAAACTTCAACGCAGTTGATGCCAGATGATTCTTCTAGTCACACAAATGATGTGCCGCCGTCAGCTCAACCCGCAAAGCAAGTTGACAACGACGAAGAAATTAACTCTCTTACCTCCACTGCTGCTGCAACCGACGCCATCGTAAAGCCTGGAAACGTAGGAACATCTACGTCTGGATCCAGAGATATTGATTCGCCGACTTCCAAGCAGTGTGACGACATAGATGAAATGGAAGAGACCGCTAGTCAACCGCGTCCTGACAAATGTTCCAGCGAAAAGGCCAGAGATTCGTTGGACGATGCGGAATCCGACTTCGAAAGCGAGTACTCAGCACAGACTAGAAGTTCTTCAGGAGATCGGTCATCGTCTCGAGAAAGGAGAAGACGTCGTAGGAAACGGAAGCGTGAGAAGAAAGCGAAGCATAAACGCAGCAAATCAAGAAAAAAACTACGAAGGCATAGTTTTTCCGATGATTCCGACTTGGAAAAAGATACCTCCGGAAACGAGATTGATAATGAATTAAACTCGGATGAAGAAAATGCCGAGAGTTCAGCTGTGAAGAGAGAGATTGCTTCTGAAGAGGATGACGGTGACTCATCAGAAGTGCCTCTTTCAAAAAAGAGAAGACGCCTGGACGAAAGCGATACATCAGGATCAAAGAAGCCCAAATCTAAGACTAAGAAGAGGAAGCGTTCAAAGCACCGCAAGAAGAGCAAGAGACATAGGAGGCGCAGGTATCGCAGTTCATCGGACAGTGACAGCGATTGGGGGAGCAGCAGCTCCAGCAGCCGGAGAAGCCGCAAGCGGAGAAGACGCGACATTGACTTGAGCTTTATAAAGCCGGACCCGGAGGACGTAATCGATCTAACGGTGATCAAAGATGAGTCTGACAGCAGTGACTCGCCTTGTGTTAAGACAGCGGCTGATCTTACTAATCCTGAAGGTTTAAACGAAGATAAAAAGCAACCTATCGTCACTGAATCAGTTGTAAATGCGACAGATAAAGACAGCGAAACCAAGGAAAGCGTTTTTTCATCTCAGCCGGAGCTGAAACATCGGACGGCTTCAGCCGACAGCTCCAACACGATTCCCTTCGAGGACCAAATCTCCTCCCCTGGATCAGGACCTCCGGAACCCCCTTCGGGGGGCTCCCCGTGCCCTCAGGAGCCAGAAGAACCATCCCCCAACACCAACACCACTGAGATCCCCCCACTCAAAAAAACCGCCGCTCTTTTTTCATCAAAAACCAAAACATTGAAGGAAATATCAATATTTGACTCTCTTCTCGATGGCGGGGCTTCAAGTCGAATCAAAACCGTGAAAAAGAAGTGTGTCGAGGAGCTATCTTCCAGTAGCGCGACTCCCAGCGCCGCGGAGGAAGAAGAAAGACTCAAGAAATTCACTAAGACTTTCACGTCTCGCAGTTCCACAACGTCTACACGTCACTCCAGCAAGGAGGTCGAGTCGTCATCCACCAGCACACACGTCAGTAAATCTTTAGTCACTTCTAGTTCGCCCTCGTCTTCCATTGGTCGTAAGAGCTCTTCCAGCTCCAAGTCTAACTCTAGAAATACTTTGGATGGAGATAAGATTCCCAATAAATCGAAATCAGAAGATCCATCTTCAAAATCCTCGTCGTCTAGCAACAGAAGCAAAAATTATAAAAGCCATTCAGAAAGTTCTAGTAAAAGTTCTAAAGATAGACATGACAGAAGCAGCAGCAGAAGTAGTGTCCACAAATCTTCAAGCCACAGCAGCTCCAGAAAGCATTCCTCATCATCGAGTTCTCGTCGTCAGTCTGCTGACCCAACAAAAAAGGATACAAGCCACAAAGACACTGGCCACAAAGACGCACCACACAAAGACACTCGGCAAAAAGACTCACGCTCTTCTCGTAAAGAAAAAGACTTGAAAAATAACGCGAGTTTCGAACCCGCGCCTAAGGCCTGTGCTTCGTCCCAGGAGAGCGAAGGCGTTTCTGACAGAGACATCTTCAATTTCAACAACGGTGAGTTTTTCTTGTCTCTTCGTATTGGTATTTATTTCAAAATTGTTTCCACAAGTGCTAGAGTAGTTAATTATGAACCTAACCTGAATCATGAGTTGTTACCAAGCGGTCAAATTTCGACATGATGAAAGACACATTCTAGGTTACATTTCGCTGTAAGGTCGAGCTAAAGGAAAGTCTCTAAAAACCGCACTTGAATAATTGCTGTGCAATGTGGACCGACGTATTGTTTATGTATAGGTTATAATTATATCGTATACATTATGAAATTTCATTTTGAAGGCCATGGCGCCGATGCTATGCTGAAATTCGTGACATTTGTTGTTGTGTGGTCGTGTTCAACTCAAGGCCTAAGAAAAGTTCCGCGTGATAACCTAAGTCTCTATTATTGGGCAAAATTTCTACCTTCACTTAGCAGCTATCTACGTTAATATCATTTGCTCAGGTTAGAGCTCGCTTTATAATAACATATTGAATCATATTTCACCAGGATCGAGAACCACTTGTTTTTCTTCTTCTAGCGCTCCCTTCACCCGCGCTACTTTCTACAGCAGCATAGCTCAGCTACCATTATAAAAATTGAATAAATCTAATTAATTTGACCATATTATTGAGAAGTTGAGTGATGTTGACAAGCGTGATGTTAACAAGCGTGATGTTGACACTTGTGATGTTGACTCTTGTGATGTTGACACTTGTGATGACAAGCGTCATGTTGGCAGGTCCGTCCCACACGTCCCAGAGCAGCGATGACGAGGCTTCCGCCGAGGGCAGAGACGCTCTTTCGCCGCTGCCTGATCTCTCCGCACTGGACTCCATCCCTGACGAGGACTGGGACAAACTCATGTCTTTGGTGGGATGTTGTTAGCATTAAAACAAACTCATGTCTTTGGTGGGATGTTGTTAGCATTAAAGCAAACTCATGTCTTTGGTGGGCTGTTGTTAGCATTAAAGCAAACTCATGTCTTTGGTGGGATGTTGTTAGCATTAAAGCAAACTCATGTCTTTGGTGGGCTGTTGTTAGCATTAAAACAAACTCATGTCTTTGGTGGGCTGTTGTTGGCATTTAAATACTCGCACGACAGTCGACTGACGGCAGCCATTCATATGATCGTGACAAAACTGTGGTAGGTATATTCTGTTATCGTAGAACACTCGGATAACAGTTAAGGTATTCGGTTATCATGGAACTCTCGGATAACAGTCATTCGGTTATTGTAGAACACTCGGACTCGGATAACAGTTAAATCGTTTATCGTAGAAAACTCGGATAACAGACAAATGCAGATACGATGATGGAAAGACCTGATGTGGTTTATTCGTTATTGTCTACTTTGTTAGAAAGAATGAACTACTTCAACAGCTCGCTTCGAGCTACTTATATAAATTGCATTAGTTAGGTGACATTGCATATAGTACGCATATGTTTTCATATTGCATATGAAAATATACACGTAATCTGTCTGGTAGATTTAAGGGTGACATGAAATTCACTGCCCTGGAGTTGCCGAGCGACCGGCCTCTTGTCCACACGACACGTTTGGGATGGACAAAAGTTTTTGAGATTAAATATTTTTGGTAACTTATTTGAAACGCTTGAATCATCTCAGTCAAAACATTGAAGCAGACTATAACGTTTGAGGCGAATGAAAATGTTTGGGTAGATCAAACAATTTCAAACGTGTGTGATGGATAAAACTTTCGGGTTGAATGTAATGTGTTGGTCAGGTTAAGCATGTAATCTGAAATGAATGTGTGGGTTAAATATAAAATTAGAAAAATTAACGAAGATAAACCTATTAATTCGGAACAACGTTTGGGGCAAATTAAAGGAAGATAAAAGCATTTTATCGTACATTTTATCAAAGCATTTTCAAGCAAACATTCAAAGAAGATAAAAACATTTTCTCACATGTTTGATGTCAGATTAGTCTTCTAAATAATTTATATTATAATTGAGCGCTGGTCAGACAGTCTGTACGTTGAAATTTAAGTGATTGCTGATAAGATCATCATTGCTGATAAAAATACTATCTGATAACGATACCTTGCATCACTTTTCAACGTTGACCAAACCAACTGATAAATCTGAAGCCGCAGCTTTTTCTTGTCGTGCTCTTGTTCCCGTTGATTCTGGCGCCATTTCTCTACTTATGATTAGTGCTGCTGGACCTAGTGTGTTGGTTGTGCTGATGTGTTGGTGCTACAGGTGCTAGTGTGTTGGTTGTGCTGATGTGTTGGTGCTGCTGGTGCTGGTGTGTTGGTTGTGCTGATGTGTTGGTGCTACAGGTGCTGGTGTGTTGGTGCTACAGGTGCTGGTGTGTTGGTTGTGCTGATGTGTTGGTGCTACAGGTGCTGGTGTGTTGGTTGTGCTGATGTGTCGGTGCTACAGGTGCTGGTGTGTTGGTGCTACAGGTGCTGGTGTGTTGGTTGTGCTGATGTGTTGGTGCTACAGGTGCTGGTGTGTTGGTTGTGCTGATGTGTCGGTGCTACAGGTGCTGGTGTGTTGGTTGTGCTGATGTGT